TGTGTGTATGTCCATACACGCACATACATGCAGCCACAGGCCAGACTTCACTCCTACACCTGACATCAAAATCCCATATATAAAAATTCAAGAACTTGATTCTTTTGGTCACATCAATCCTCTGCCTAGCTGGGAGACCGCATATCCATCTGTGTCTTAGCACTTTCCCCTATTGAGATATTATCCGTTAAAGCAAAGGGCACCTAACAAGTCTTCTCACCATTATTTACCTGTTGGTGGTTCTGAGCTTTGTGGGACTTTGGAATTATTCTTGTAGTCATGCTCCTGTGTGCAGAGGAGGTGACCATACTCTATGGAGACCCCCCCCCCAAATCAACTCTGGTAGTTGCCTTGCTACTGAATCTCTGAAAGCTGGCAGGTTCCTTTTCCTTCACAAAAACAGAATCCAACAGGGACTTCTTTGGAGTGAGATTATTTGGATGTTGCTGCCCATTTCTTGTATTCCCTATACATGGGGTCATTGATGATCAGGACAGAGCCATATTCCTCATATCCCTGTGCAAGCAAGTAGAGCCCGTCACCCCTGGTGACTTCTAACCCTTGTCAGTTACATTTCTGAGTAGCTGTAGATGGGGGGATACAGTGCAGAGGTACTGGTTGTGGAGAATTTCCCTTCCAGTGCAAACCTGTTGTATTTATTACAATGTTAATCAGAAATAACTTAAACAAACCTGCATCTTCTTTTTGAAAAACTGCCATGGGGTGTCCCTATTTCTGCAGTGTTAGTGAACATTTATTGATAGGGGTTGCCAGGCACTGTGCCCACTGGGCTTGGACCAGCCCCCAGCCCCTCTACACTTGCAAGGAGCTGTTCCCTTGGGTTCTTCATCCCTGAGCATTCTTTCACAAGACTACATTGAGGAGAGGCTGGGCCTGATTCATACCTTACATCAAAATCCCTGAGAAAATTCATAAAGCTTCCGAGAAACAGACAGGTAAGGTAGGCTCAGAACCAGGGACATGCAGAGCTTCCAAAATGGCAGAAGTAGGGAGTCTAGAACACCTGGCTATCTGCCAAGGCATTTGGAATTGAGGGTGAAACTCGGAAGAGCTGAGCATTGTGGGAATGCTCTTTGAAAACCCCCTGCGTGATATATACAGCATTTCCAGAAGCTATGTGTTATTTTGTTTTAAGATAAAATCAACTCAAAATCATGAAGTGATTATTGTGTCTGATAAATCTGGGCCGCATGTGACATGAGGCCCATCTGTGTCCTTAATCCCACAGTCACTTAAAGTCAAAAGTTAGCGTGTGTGCCTAATGCTAAAAGCTTTTGTTAAATGTAATGTTGCCAGAAGTAATAGATGTCCTGGGACGTAAACCTAAAATAACATGAATTTTTCAGTCAAGTAAGCCTTAATTTAAACTAAAAATAGCCTAAACAGTAGTTTATGTAAACCTCAAATATCCAGGATTCCCAACTAGTTCATCAAATGGTAAATTTATGAGGCACTTAGTTAACATTTGAACATTTTAAACCAGATCAAGCGTGATCTCTCTTAGAGACAAGCTCCAGAAACCCAAGAATCTCACTCTTGGCTGATCTTGCTGACTGGAACATTCCTTAGGGAAGTCCTTCCCTGGGGCTGGCAGGATGAAACCCCAACAGAACACGTGGGGCGGGCACGCAGTGTGGACGGCTCAGTCAGCTTTTCTTTTGTAAACATAGTTTTGTCTCCTGAGAGACGGGGTTCCCGGGCCAGCGGAGCCTGGCAGTATGGGTGAAGGAGCCTCTTTTATTTTACAACCAACTTGACCGCTGCAGAAAACTTGGAATCAGTCACAAGTGAAACATTCCTCCCTACGTGGCGGGGCCACGCTGCCAGGGCTTGGATCCCCTCCGACTGTGGTTTCCAAATAACATCCTTGTTGTTTGAAAAACCCATCTGGTGGCCGCCCGGAGATCCCACCCGGGGTGGTGGGAGGTGGCTTGTGAGGGCACCGAGCTGGAAGAATGGCCGTCCTGGGTCTGTGCCCCCCACGCCAGCTTTGCCCTGCTGGCTGACCGGGCACTGTGACTGGGTCTGTGTGTTCTGCTTGCACCTTATCTCTAGATAAGGAGCCACTTTTTCATGAGACACTGCATTTCTGGCTCCTCTGGACACTTAGCAAAGTTTACTGAAATGCATCCAAATTTCCAGAGGACCTACCCACTTGAAAACGGAATAACCTGTTTTATTTAAAGATATCTGATCAAGCTCTAAATCAAATTTCAGGTCACTTTGAATAGCCTCTGCTACGTGCACTTGCGAAACCAAGTAGTTCCTTCCATAGTTAACATGAAACAGAAAAAGGGGAGGAGACACAAGAGAGACGGGGAGAAAACTATAGAACTATCTATATGAGTAGATAATCAGGAAAAAAGTTAAAAGATGAGCCGTGGCATTAAAAACTAGGACTCATTTTAGACATCAAAGTACCCATTAGAAATAGATTTATTCCCGGGGCCTCCCTGGTGGCACAGGGGGTTAAGATGCAGCACTATGAAGCTGTCCGCAGCCTCTGCAGCATGAGTTAGATCCCTGGCCAGGGAGCAACCCACATGGTGCAGCAGACCTCTCCTGACTCACCCGCTGCTCCCCTCAGGAGTGTATTTCAGTCAGTCTGCCCGGTTCTGCTCCCCACTCTGTCTCTGGTGAATCCTCTCACCCACCCCCCACACCTCTGGCCTGTACCCCAGTTCTTGTATGCATAAATAAATCTAAAAAAAAAAAAGAAATAGATTTATTCCCATTGATCAGACGTGTCTGATAATTTCTTGATTCCACATTTAATTCTCTGGGATGGACACCTGACTGATAGGAAGACAAGACTGAACCTGTCTTGCCGTGGTTTTTCATTGTTCTGTTGAGCAAGTGAATGCTCCCAGATTTTGCTGATACTGGTGCTTCCTCCAGTTTTAAGTAGAAAATACATTCGATAAATATGTACAGAGAGCTTGCTCCGAGCCACCACTGGTGGAGAAGCTGGCTGGAGAGATGCCCTGTGGGACCAAGAGAGTTGGAAACCCAGGGGAGAGGGATTTCCAGGGGTGATCTGGCAGGAGGCCAGACCAGGCAGTACGGTCACCGACGTACTGTTCTGACCGAATAGTAGTTGACCCATTAACAGAAAAATTGGTTTGAGGGAAAGACCTGAAGAAATTATACTAACATTTATACAAACATTTTGTCTTAACTCAAGCCATGAAAATGTTTTCCCACCATTTTGTGGTGAGGTGACAGCCTTTTATTTGAGGGAGGTGATGGCCTTTTATTTGCTGGTTGGACTTCCACATCACCTTTCTCACACAAGTCACAGTTACGGTGTGGTGAGTGCCAATTCCAGTTTTTTCTCTTTCTTTCTTTTTTTAACATTGGGCAGAAGATAAAAAGCCCCTGATGAAGCAATCAAGTTGGGGGGAAGCAGAACTTTATGATTTTTTCCATCTTCTACAGTTGCCACACCCAATTTGACAACGGTCTATTTTCGCTACTAACTCACTTTTCAGGAAAACAACCTGACTTTTGTTCTCATATGTCTTTGGTCCACACAACACATAGCCACATGCATTCATTGAAATAGGAAGTATCATTGAGATAAAGAACTTTGAGAGGAAATCAGTTGACCCTTAACAAGCATCCCTTCTGCTGAGGTAGCAGAATGTGTGGTGACCAGAACCTCAGCAGCAGGAGAGCTAGACCGATCAGCCAGGCTGATCCCACTCCACAGGGGATGGTGAAGAGAGTGTCTGGAGATGAGGTGGCCCGGGGGGGTGGCAGAGCAAGGGCAGAGTGGGCTTCCTTCTGGGAGACACCAGGATTAAGCTGTGGTCAAGGGAATTGATGAAAGATGGTTAGAGGCATATGAAGGAAACTAGAAAAACGTGGCCCCAGAGAAGCATTTAGAAATCTTTTTCATAACATTCATATTCATCTCTTCTGAGTGACTTGAGGTCAGGGATGGCATATGACTTCCCATTATAGAGTCTCTTTCCTCTAAGAAATACTTTTGAATGAACTAAAGTGTGTGTGTCTTCCACTGGGCCGTTTGCAGAGATGGGCATCTCCGTGGCCATATGACATGTTGAGCTGCTGCCCCGGACATAAGGGTCTCACACTGGGCCGTCTGATCTGAGTATTGTGTGTCTCAGGTGTGTGTCAACTGAGGTCCTCGTTCAGTGTGTCCTGTGTGGTCAGCCCCTCGGGTGTAGACAGGCAACTCTGTGTCTTTCAGGTACAGCTAGTGGGAAGGTGACAGGTGTGGTCTGGCTGGACCAGGTGACATGAAAGAAAAGCCACAGCTTTTGAAGAGTTGGAGTTGGACCTTGTAATGCCACAAATCTTAGATGCCTCCACTCCCTTAGCATAATGGCTTCTCTCTAAAGCAACAGACACTCAGATCAGTAACACTAGGACATTTGGTGTGAAAAAGCAAGTCTAATCAGAACTATAGTATCACAGTTAATGTAAGTTGTTCACTATTCATTTTTTTTTAAAGATTTATTTATTTATACAAGCACTGGGTACAGTCAGAAGTGCAGGAGGGTGAGAGAATTCACCAGAGCCAGAGCGGGGAGCAGAACAGGCAGAAGGACCGAAGTACACTGCTGAGGGGAGCAACGGGCATGGCAGGAGAGGTCTGCGCGCCATGTGGGACCCTCGCCGACGGCCGGGGATCAAACCAGTGCTACAGAGGCTGCAGGCAGCTTTGCAGCCCAGTGCTCAACCACTGTGCCACCAGGGGAGGCCCATCACTATTCGTTTTTTTAAGTGAATGCTATTAGTGTCTACTGTTTTCATTCACTTAGTAAGCCTCTATTTCTCTAAAAGCTTGGGACTATTGAGAGCCTCTCTGTGAGGGTGGGAGAGCTCTCAGCTATCACGTTATAACCTTTTGTATTTAAGACTTGGTTGAATTCAGCACAGTGTGTTCGAGCCTGGAGCTGGAGCTGAGATGCTTGTGGTATGAATGTCCCTCTCTTTCTTCCCTCCTGCAGTTTGGGGATGAACCACGATGACGATCACTCGTCCTGTGCCGGCAGGTCCCACATCATGTCAGGAGAGTGGGTGAAAGGCCGGAATCCCAGTGACCTTTCCTGGTCCTCCTGTAGTCGAGATGACCTTGAAAACTTCCTCAAGTAAGTCCTGGAATCATTCTATGCAATCAGTACAATGGAAGGTACACTTGATCCTTAAGCAACCAGGGATTAAAGGCACTGACCACCACCCCTGCCCTACCCGTCCCTCAGGTAGTGGAAAATTTAAGTATAATTTGTAGTTGACCCTCCATATCTCTGAGTTCTGCATTCACAGATTCAACCAACTCCAGAATGTCATTGGTTGATTTCATGAAGCAGAACCCAGGGATATAGAAAACCAACTGTATTTATTGAAAAAAAATTCTGTGTATAAGTGGAACCATGCAATTCAAATCAGTGTTGTTCAAAATGAAATGAATTTCATTTTACCCAGAAGGTCAGTAAAACAGACAGGGTGTTTTCATTTGCCCACATACACAATGCTCGCCCCCAGCAGCCACTGAATTGTCATGTGTATTTGAGCACAGAGAGGTGTACCAGTGTCAGCCTGTGTGCCTGTGTGCATGCAACTCTTTCCTTCGAGAATCTTGGCAAGAGGCTGGATTTTCTGGATTTTGTTTGTATTGCCATATGCCTTGTTTTAGGATTTGAAAAATAAAGGTATTCACATATTCAACCTGCTGATGCAGCCTCCCTGCCCCCAGTGCAGGTTTTCAGAGATGATTGCAGCATCTCTGAACAGGCCCACCCACCCTGGTTGAGATCTGGAAGCTCTCACAAAGTGTGCTACCAGCCAGCTTCCAGGATAGATGTTGTCAGGTGGGGCACCCAGACCCCCAGCACCTGGCCACTCCTGCCAGGGCCTCCAGAAGAAGCTCAGGGTTGACAATAAGCACTCTTTGTTTTATTTGAAATAAAACAACCCTAACTCCTGTTCTTTTTTTCTTTATTCATAGTAACTTTTGCTCTAAGCTATAGTAAAAGAATTATAGGAGTCTGTTTCAAAAGAATTTTTATTCCAAGAAAGCTTGCAGACACCCCAAGAAAAGCACGAGTCTGTGAGTGTCACTCCCAGCCCCTTCCTAGGTGTCAAGCTCTAATTGCCTTCAGAGTAAAAGATCTGCATTCAGCCATATGGGAGGGGTAAAAAGAAAAAAAGCACAGTCCCCAGTCTGGTGCCTAGGTCACCTTCTCGTAGGTCATTTGGAGGTGCATCCTTCTTGTGACTGACAGAACAAAAAATGCAGTGCATCTGGAGGAAGCTGATTTGCCTCTTGGCTGTTTCAGGTCAAAAATCAGCACCTGTTTGCTGGTGACGGACCCCAGGAGCCAACACGCGGTCCGCCTCCCTCATAAGCTTCCGGGCATGCACTATAGTGCCAATGAGCAGTGCCAGATCCTGTTTGGCACCAATGCCACTTTCTGCAAAAACATGGAGGTAAGTGGCCTTGGAAGGGCTGGCTCAGGAAGGAGTGTGACCCCAACCCCTCTCAGCAGGTCCAACTTCTGCTAGAGGACCCAGGTATTCACACTGTGCATGCATGTACTTATGCACACACACACAACAAGACTCTGGGTTGGTCAGTTCTATGGGTGGGGGTGCCATGAGGGCCATGCCATGAGGGACTCTGCGTAGCAGAGAGGAAAAGCCATGGCCCCAGGAGAGGCCAGAGCAGCCTGCAAACCTGCTGGTACCTGGCAGTTGGCTCAGATGGGAGAACAGAGCCTGTGCCATCCTAGAACAAGAGAAAGACAGAGGCAGGAGAATTGATAGGGATCTGTGGGCCAAGAGTCCCAGCAGCAGTCAGCCTGAGGGCTGTTTGTCAGGTGCTAGAGCTCAGGACAGCGTCCATCCTGGAAGGTTGAAGGGGGGCCCAGAGCTAGAACTCATTGTGGGACCAATTGTACAACAGACACACATATACATCAGGGACTGTGTCTCCAGAATGAAGCCCTGGGATACTGGCTGTCAGAACCAATCAATCTGTACTCCGGTACATGAGATGCTGCATTCATTGGTTTGGGAAATCTGAGAATCCAGAGCCAATCAGAAATGTCTTCTAATCCAGTGCCACAATTGATCTTCATAAGCATTTTTGCCCTGTAGTGCCCTTAAAGATTGAAATGGATATAATGTAAGGAAATGCTCATGATTCTAAAGTTGCCTTTAAGTTTCTTTTTTTTTTAAAGATTTATTTTTATTTATTTATTTTATTTATTTATACAAGCACTGGGTACAGTCAGAAGCGCGGGAGGGTGAGAGAATTCACCAGAGCTAGAGTGGGCAGCAGAGCAGGCAGAAGGACCGAAGTACACTGCTGAGGGGAGCAGCGGGTGGCAGGAGAGGTCTGCGTGCCATGTGGGACCCTCCTCTGGTGGCTGGGGAGCAGCCGGGGATCGAACTGGCGCTGCAGAGGCTGCGGGCAGCTTCACAACCCAGCGCTCAACCGCTGTGCCACCAGGGAGGCCCTGCCTTTAAGTTTCTTATCCCACCTTTCACCTTCAGCCAAAATGGAGTAACGGGAACAATCTTTATCTTCCCACCTGAAGCAACTAAAAAACAGATAAAATATATAAGAAAATGATTTTCAAAACATTGGACATTAACCAGTGAAGGGTTATTATCCTTGAGAATGTGAAACAAATGAGGTGAGCCCTCCAATTGCCTGGACGTCCTGCCTGGGACAGAGGGAAGAAGCACTGTCCACAAGAGGCAATCATCCAGAGTTGATGAAACAGAGCTGGGAGTACAGGGAGTTTGAGGCAGATAGAGTTCACAGAGTAGCTACCTCAGAATAAAGATCTTAACAAAGAGAGAAACTCAGAAATCTGCACAGGACCCCATGTATATTCAGCTGAATACTGAGAAATGCATATGCTTAAGAAAACTATGCAAGACCAGGAAGAGAACCTTCAGGAAGTAAGAGGGAACAATCTCTGGAGCTCACATAGGCATCAGGCAGAGTACACAGAAAGGTTTGCATCAGTAGCCTGGCATAATTGGCTTCCTACTAAATGTTGATCCTGGTCCCACCTAATAAATTGTCAAACCAAATCTGAAAGATTACAGCTGTATCCAAGTAACTTAACTGAGCCTGAGAACAAAGCTTAAAAATTTAAAACTACCCAACATTCAGTAAAATAAAACTCACAATATCTGGCAACAAATAAAAATATACCTGGCCTTCAAAGGAACAAGAAAAAATGACCATAATGAGGAGACAAATCAATCAATCAAAATTGACCTAGATATGATACAGATGATAGAACTAGCAGACTATACTCTTGAAACAGCAATCACCACAGGTCTAAGGAGGTGGAAGAAATACAGAACTCATAAAGTGCAGATTGGAAGATATAAAAAAAAATCTAATGGAACTTGTAGAAATGAAAAACTACAATGTCCGAGATGATGACAGACCCCCTGCATGAGATTGAGGCAGAAAATTTTGGTGAATTTAAAGAAAAAGCAATTGAAATTATCCAAAATAAAACACATCAAGAATACAGACTGAAAGCAAAAAGAACACAGTGTCAGAAGCAAGATCTCTAGGCCAATACTTCCTACAATCAAATCACTTAAAAGTAGTGATAAAGAGAAAATCTTAAAAGGGCCAGAGGACAATAACAATTTATGTGCAAATAAACTAAGGTAAAAAATGACAGTGTATTTGCCATTAGGAACAATGCTAACGTCAAGATAAGGACTGAAAGAAGAAAGCCTGTCAACTTAGAATTCTACACCCAGCAAGAATATCTTTCAAAAATGAAGGGGTAATGGAGTTTTCCTCTCATATAAAAGCTGAAAACATTCACTTTCAGCAGACTCCAACTGGAAATGAACAGTTCAGGCAGAAGACAATGATACTGGAAGAAAGATGTATCTATACAAAGGAAGGAGGAGTCTTGGAAGCAGAAGCTACACAGGAAAATACACAATAATACTCAAATATCTTTAAAAGGCAACCAGCCATTTAAAGAACTGTTTCATAAAAAAAAAGAAGAAAAAGAGGAATACATTTATGGAAGATGACCATGTCTTAATTCTGCAGAACCTGTGAATGTCACTGATATGGTAAAAGGGACTTTGCAGGTGTGATTAAGGATCTTGAGATTGGGGAGACTTCCTAGATTATCTGGGTCTTCCTGGTGTAATCACAAGGGTCTTTACAAACAAGAAGGCATAAGATCAGGGTGAAGAGTGGGAAATATGATAATAGAAGCAAGAGATTGGATACAAGGAAGTAGGCACAAGCCAAGGAATGTAGGCAACTGCTGGAAGATAGAAAAGACAGGGAATCAGACTCCCCCCCTCAGAACTTCCAGGAGCCAGTCCTGCTAAAACCTTGACTTTAATCTGATGAGACTAATTTTCGATTTCTGAGCTCCAGAATTATAGGACAATACATCTGTGTTGCCTCAAGCCACTATGTTTGTAGTAATTTGTTACAGCAGCAATAAGAAATCCATACAGATTTGCCGTAGGAAAGGAAAACAGTTGTAGGTTTATGACACATGTAAGAGGCAGATGTATGAAGACCACACAGAAGGCTGAAAGAGAGGATTTGGAGCTTAGGGTTTTGATACCATATTTGAAGTAAAATAATTTCACATAAAGTTAACAATGTAGAATATTAACTGGAAATCAACCGATAAAGAATACAACAGAGTTCCAGCTAATAAACCAAAAAAGGGAATAAAACATGATTATACATTGTTTACCCCTGTGATCTTTTAGGCACATTAGAAATAGATCATGTCAGGGTGGAGTGGAAACACATTAGTCTTTTCTACTCCATTATACTAAGAAATCAAGGCCACTTATTTTTCTTTGGGTTCATGACATATTCCACTTAGATACAGTTCTCCTTGAGGTCCCCATGACTAATCCCATCTCCAAATAGACCACAGCAATTAAGGTGCTGGTCTTCACACCAGTTGTCCAAGTCTTCATGCCAATAATCACACCAGTAGTGTCAGGACATTCCAACTTGCCTCCAGTTATTTCAGAAGGAACTGTGATGCAGGACGCTCACCAAAATTCTCCAAATCTCATCTCACCCCTTTTAGTTAGAAAAAAAAGTACTTATTCGACACTGTGAAAAAGAAAGAAAAGCACTCAGCCAGGAGTTTGGGGAAATGAACATTGTGAAGGCATTACAATGCCAAAAATCTGGAGGAATCTCTTCTCTTAGAAACCACATCCATGCATGGCAGTTGGAAATGCTGCCATGTTCCCAAGCCCAGGACTCCCCCAAGGACGGTTGACGATGAGAATTTCACTGGCAAGCCCTTGGGCTGGCTTCCTGTGCAGAGCCTTCGGGGGTAGCTTGGAAACACACCTAAACATTAATGAGGCAAGTGGGGTGTGTGTGAATCTTTTGTCTTAAAATTTCTAGAACTTGAAACCTATTACAGAAAAGAAAATAAAAATGAAATATAACAGAGGTTGGACACCACTGAGGGAATAAAACTGTGAAACACACCAGCGGTCAGGAGTTGGACATTTTCTTTTTTTCTGAAATCCAGACCATAAAAATAAGAGGAAAAGGAACTGACTAGATTTACTTTGAGAAAAATAATAACCACTGTGACAACTGGCAGGTAGAGTTTTCTTTTTTCCTGCTGCCTCTTTTGAGGAACCAAAGCTTCTCCCTGGTAAAAGGTTGAGACCCTGGTCTCAGGGAATTGCATTTCTCAGAGATGCATCTTGGTGATGTATAAAGCAGGGCTTCTTGACAAGGGCCTGTGGATAGAGTTTTGATTTATGAACAGGATAGGAAAGAGATGTCAACTTTATTTTTCTCCAATCTGTAAGTGAAGCGATGATCTTTGATTATGAATGTGGACAGTCAGCCCCAGCCATGTTAGCAGGACCTGTAACTGCCATGTGATGAGAAATCACAGCTCTTTCTACTGAGGGACAGTATGTAGCTGGTGCCTGAAAATATCGCTTATGCTCATCAGTTTTTCAAAATGACAGTGGTCATTTGTTAGGGCCAGACCTTGCTATGTACAATGTGTTGATAAACAAACACACTGTGCTATTATGTCTATTTTTTGTAGTTTGAATTATAGTTGAATGTTTTTGTTTCCTTGGTAATCATATAGATTTTACAACATTGCCCTGACAAATATTATTCAGATGAGGGGTTCGTACTTTCACGGGTGCTAGGGAGTGGCAGCCAGCATCGGTCTCCAGAGCAAAGTGCTGGCTTGTCCTGAGCTATTACTCTTATTCAACTAGAATTTCAAATATAGCACTTCCTGTGCTTAACTTCCATCTATGTTCTTTCTCAGTACTCATAACTCAGAGTCCTTTAAAGGCCAATCACAATTAAAGACCATTTCCTCACTCACAGGTGTAGGGTAAATAACTTTGGAGAAACATTGCTATGGTTACTTAGGGAGCAGCCTGACTTCCGATATTAACCAGGT